TAAATTCCTGTTTGGCTCCCTGAACTGGGAGCCAGCCCATGCGGTCGGAGGCGCTTTATAAACATCCCGGCTGAGCGCACGGGGGGATTTCCGAGGCGATGCTGCCATGTCCACAGGGCCAGAAGGCAGCAGTGGTAGTGTCTGTTTGGGGCTCTCCGTGCTGCTCCCTTGCTTTTCTCTTCTCCCTTGCTGCCATCAGACCCCGGGCCCGCTCCGTGCCGGTGGCGTTTCCTTGGTGCTGCGGCTGGGCCGGTGTCCTCCGGCTTGTCGCCCTTGGATGCAGTTGGTGATTTAAGGGTTGAGCTGGAAGACGTTGCACCCACCCAGCACTAGTGGGTTTGGGTCGGGGCACCAGCCGCGGGATGCTTTGCCCTGCAATGGTTTTGAGCGGTCTGGTGTCCTCATTATGGGAGATGCTTCACGCGGTGAAAATCGCCAGGGTTACATTTTTAAGATACAGTAGAGCTGCAGGAAAAAAAGAAAGAAATCACTCAATTCGGTTTAAAAACAGTATTGGTAGAAAGCAATATAAGAAGAAGCAGATGCAGGATGTCCTTGGTCCCTCCTGGGCATTTGGCTGTTCCCGTCTCACGGCGTCTCCCGCTCTGCACTGGGTTTGGCCTTGGGTAATTCCCAAAAAAGGGGTTATTGCCTTCTTTTTCTGATGGCGAGGGTGGCCCTGAGGAGTGAAGGGCATGGGGACAGCTGGCAAGAAGTTCAGCCTAGTTTTGTGAGTCCCAGGCGAGCACCCACCTTCCTTTGGGAAACTACATTTTGGGGTTTACGCTAAGTAACGCTTTCATACACGGCAAGGTAAAAGCGGTGGGGAGAACATGGTGGCAGCAGAGATCCTTCCCCAACCTCCGCCACGGCAGTGCGGAAACACCAGCTCGGCTTAATAAACAAGATGCTGTTGCTTCTGGTGGTGGCCCGGGACTGGAAATCTCTGTAAGGCCTGAAAAGATGAGGAAGAAGAAGGGGGATGAAAGCTCTCCCGTCCTTAAATCAACATCAGGAGCTTACAGCACCCATCTTTGCCATGAACCGAGCCCCAGCCCGACAGGCGATGCCGGTGTTGCGCTGTGCGAGCTGCTGGCTCGCATAAACTCCCCTTGGTTTCTTCCTAACTGAACCTGTTTATAATTTGAGGGATATAACAACACAGTTTTCTGCTTGGAAATTTCCTTTGGGGGGTTGTCGTTGGCTTGTTACTTTTTTTTTTTTTTACTGTTTTGTTTGCTCCGAATGCTTTGGAAATGGTGACGCAGCACGCAAGCCTGGAGGATGTTTATTTTGGGGAGAGATGCTGCCCCGCGGCAGCGGTCGGGGGGATGGAGGTGGGATGCTCCTGCGGCGGGCGCGGGGTCTGGGGGGGCCGCTGCCGTTTCTGCGGGGGTTCGGGAGCCTCCCCACGCACCTGGTTTTTCCTTTGCTGCAGCCCAGGTGATTCACGAGCGAAACTCCCCCGGGGCCAAATTTATAATCTTTCCCAGGATTATAAAGGGAGGCGAGGAAGGAGGTGTCGTAAGAGCCGAGCAGGCGATGGCCCGTGCGGGCTGCCTGCCCGTGCGCCATGCTGGCTGTGGCACGGCACCCCCATCCCCACGCTGTTCGTCCCGTCCCCGCAAGACTCATTTGGGGGGGGGAGAAATAATTAATTAATAACAAAATTAAATAATAAATTTTTTTTTTTTTTAATTAAAAAAATAAAACCAATCTGCAAATGTTTGCTTTGGCCCCGTGACAGCGACGTGACGGTCCCTGAGTCACCCTGCGCCCCCGGGGACGGGACTCGGGACGCAGAGGTGGGCTGGGGCCGGAGCTGAGCCCCCGCTGCGGGCCGGGAGGGAGAAATCAACCCCTTGGTGGGTGCCCCAGGGTGGGATT